AGCTCTGGACCTCTCTGCTTGCCTCATGTTGTCTTTTGCCTAGTATTTGTTAATGTACTACTTCTTATGGCAGTGGTTTATCAGAGTTGAAAGATCTCCTTCCCTGCCATCTAAGAACATTAAGCTATTTAAGGAGAAGATTTACTCTTATCAGGACAGTTCATAACATTTTTCGGTTTTGTCTCACAGAAATTGTCTTAATACCACGGAAGCTCAGAGTAATTTAAGTGGGGGAGAGAACCGCGTGCAAGTCCTGAAGACGGTGCCGGTTAACCTTTCCTTGAACCAAGATCCTTTGGAGTCATCCAAAAGGGAATACAACACAAATGTGTCTGGGAGCTCGACGCCCATCACAGGGACTGCAGTGACTGTGGTTAAAGCAGAGGAGTTCACCCCTGTTTTTATGACCCCACAAGCACACTATGCAAGAGGAGAAAATGAGGAGCACCGAGGGGTTATCTTTGAACCATACGAAGTGTCCAACATTGCTCCCCATACAAATTATCTCAAAGATGACCAGCGCAGTACTCCTGACAGTACGTACAGCGACACCTTCAAAGATGGAGGAACAGAAGTAAGTTTTTTCACCTCAAATTAGCATCTAAGAACTCAATAAAAAGCTGTAAACAAGATAAGGAGATTTGAGCTTGTAAACAAGATAAGGAGATTTGAGCTGTCAGAAGAACAGTGATGCTTGTTTCAACAAGTTCATCACTGCTCCTTGCCGTATTCCTGTCAGTCTGTGCTCTGATTATAGGGGAGCATCATGAGGCATTTCAGAAGACAGTTTTAAAGTTGTTTATTGGAAACTCTGAGAATAAGAGATACTGATCTTTTATCTTCTGGGATATTGTGTCAGGTAGAGGACAGTTGCCATTCTGAAAGAAGATCTGTTTTCCGTTAACAAGATCTGCCTTCAGACCTATTCATAACAGTAAGAAATAGCAGCCACTTTGTAACCAGGAAATTCTTAATGCTCTTCTGAAAGTGCAAATGAGCAGTGTCAGCCTCTGCTGCTAGATAAACCCAAGTGATTTATTCAGAAGCTATCTGTTGCACTAAGCTCCGCTCTGCAGCATGGGCAAGTGAGAAAAAGTAGCAGAATTAGGTGACTAGAGGGGAATGGAGAAGTTAGCGGGCAGGGAAAGACTTGGGTGCATGCATATGCAGGGAATGAGGACGAGAAGAGAAATAAGGAGCCACCTTCTAACTATTTTACAGTTATGCTGAGGCAGAGTAATTGCACAATCAGCTTTAATATGGTGATTACCCTCTGGCTGCTTTTGCCTTCTGCAGAACAGTGCAAACAAACCAGAAATGTAGAGAGGTAAAAATTATTTGAAGCTGACAGTACCTCTGCAAATAATTAGAGATATTAGATGGTAAAACTCTCCTCAAATTTTTCTCCTTGGATCTTTCTCCTCCAACTTTATGAAATTGTGAATTTAACAAAAGTACAAGGCAAGCTACATTAAGGCTGAGTTACTCCGACTGAATATATAAGAATTTTGCTGTGTGTTTGTGTATGTGTTTATAGAAAAGTAAATTGTCTCCACACAAACATCATAGATCAGGACGTCTGGAGGTGAAATCCATTTTCAGATACAGAACACGTTTAGGTCAACTAAATGAATAATTAATGAAGAAATCTAGCATGCCATTGAAAAATCAGTAAGATCAAACCCTGGATTAGAAACACTGCTCTGCATTATCAAATCACATCATTTCAGCTATTTTTTCATTGTCACTGATAAATGGCTCTTTATGTGAGTCCGGTGGCACCATACCCAGGGCTTTCCCTGGAGTGCTGTAGCTGAGTGATTCCATTACGTTGGTTTGTTCTGGGACGTGCTGCTGAGAGCTACCCGAACAGCCGGTCTGCGCTGTGCAAAGCACTGTCGAATGTGCAAAGTTGTTTAACTTGAAGGTAAAAAGGGAATTTACATCTGTACGTTGGCCTTGCATCCCATGTTATGGTAATTTTTGTTAGAATGGTAATAATTTGCATCCCAAACTCCCATGTTATGGTAATTTTGTTACAGTGGTAATATTTTGTTACGTGTTTTTTAAAATGATTGGTTAATAACAGGGTACGATACTTGTCATCTAGGCTTTCTCTGCAGTCTGTGGAGAAAGAGGCAGTTCAAATCCAATTGCCAAAAGTGGGTGGGATGGTTTGCCAGGTGCACTCACTCCTCTCCGTCTTCACCTCCCCTATTAACTGTACAGGGAGACCGAACAACTAACTTTAGGTCCCCATCTGTAGCTGTTAGGTGAGGTGTGTGCCACTGTTAGTGGCCTTCCAGCCCCAAACGCTCACATGCTTGTGGCACAGGAGCAAGAAGAGCTTTCCCCACCCTGCTGCAGCCTCACTCAACACTTAACCTGTCCCTTTGTTTTTTCTCAACTACCCAAATCCCGGGATGTGCTTCACCCCTGTGGTGCTCTGACAGCTCCTCCAGCCATGTGCTGTTGTGTAGGGACAGCTGTATGAAGCAGGTGTGGGGAGACCATAAGGTAAAAATGTCAAAACATACCAAAAGAGAAACTTGTGCTAAATTAGTGTTTAAAGTAGGAATACAGTTGTTCTTACTAGTTTTCCTAGTCACTTGGTGAGAATGGCTGGATTTGGCTGCAGTAAATTTGCTCTGATACCTGCTCAATTTTTAAACACATTATGAATACGTATTTAGAAATTGTTTCAAAACGTTTATTGAGTGAATTAGTTCTGTTATACTGAAGGAGTGCTGAGTTTTCATAGATCCCTGTAGTAGTGGACGCTTCCATCAATCACTTGCTACGTTCTTTGAATACAATTTTAACAATTATATAAATATACCTGTCTCATCCCTTTCATATTCTTATTTAGCTGTGATTAATTTATTAGTCCTTTATAGTATAGACAAAATTTTCGAGGATAGGTAAGTAAATTGAATGTTTTTGACAATGTCAACCTCTGGCCTTCATATAAAATGTGACTAACATGTTAATATGGGACCATCTTTATTGTAATCCCCCTCAGATGTTAGATTTCTTAGGGTATTTAGCTTATCCATTCTACTTCTTATAGATCCTTGACTTAAGTAGTATCTGACTGGAATTTGTTGTGGCACAGTTATGCATAAGGTAGAATTAAAAACTGTTTTCAAAATTGCCTGACTTGACACTTCTGGAAAGAAAACAGCTTTTAATTGCTAACTGGTAATCACAAAAGAAATCCTGGAGATTAAATGTAATGATCCATCAGTGAATAAGAGAGACATCAGCAAAAACATGTTTCAGGCAAAAGGCAAGCCAAGAAGAAGCAGCAAGGCTTACAGAGTAGAGTATGAACGGGCGCGTTTGCTCAGGAAGACAGAGTACAAATCCATGCTTAGTCTGTGCAAAAAGATTTCATTTTTTCAGAATTCCACCTCTTGATGTGATTTTTTTTTTTTTTTTGATAGATGTATTTTCATTTTTCAAAGAGTGACTGTAGGTGTCCTTTCTTCTGGTAAAGCGTGCATTTCGCTCAAACTCCTATTGAAAATAGACAGTATAGCAGTCTAAATTTTTGTCAGCATTTCATTGTAGGCCTTCAGGTAAGCTGACCACACACGTATTTTTAAATAAAGCAAAACAAAACAAAAAGTGAAGTCTCTAGGAAAACTATGATTTCATTTGAAAATCTACTTGTCTTTGAGATGGGGTACATTTTTACAGGCTTGTTTTAGAATATATTAATGTGTAGGCAAGGAGTTTAATAAGGCAAAAGATGTTTTTCAGCTACATTCCTGTAGCAGTTAGGTTATGAAAAACTCTAAAAGCTTGATATAAATTAATTATCCCTGTTAATTCTAGTGTAAAGACCATGTAGGGTCCACTCCAGTTTTTAAGGATTTTGAGTTTTAAATGGTTGATGGTTTCTTCTGAGAGGTCCTTAAATAAACATAATTCTACTTTTGTTGGTATTTGCATTTTGATTGTATCAAAGTATATTTAATTGTTTTTATTTTTCAGAAGTATCGCAGTGTGTCAGTGGGGGCTGAAGAATATATTTACGAACAAACAAGGTAGGGCATAAACTTTGAAATGTGTTGACTGGCATCATGAAGGAAAGTATTGAGGAGAGTCTGCCTGTGTCCACTTCCCACCCTCTCTTTCATCACCCTGGGGCACCTGCAGGGTTCCCTTGACACTGCCCAGCAGCACTCTCCCCTTCTCCTGCGTGTGTTACCTTTCATAGAATCATAGAATCGTTAAGGTTGGAAAAGACCCTGAAGATCATCAGGTCCAACCGTTAACTTATCACTGCCAAGTCCACCACTAAACCATGTCCTCAAGTACCATGTCTACCTGTCTTTTAAATACCTCCAGGGATGGAGACTCCACCACTTCCCTGGGCAGCCTGTTCCAATGCCTGACTGCCCTTTCGGTGAAGAAGTTGTTTGTTTTTTTTTTCTAATATCCAACCTAAACCTGCCCTGGCGCAGCTTGAGGCTGTTTCCTCTTGTCCTATTGCTTGTTACTAGGGAGAAGAGACCAACCCCCACCGCGCTACAGCCTCCTTTCAGGTAGTTGTAGAGAGCAATCAGGTCTCCCCTCAGCCTCCTCTTCTCCAGACTAAACAACCCCAGCTCCCTCAGCTGCTCCTCATAAGACTTGTTCTCTAGACCTTGACCAGTTTATATCTTCATATATTATCTTCCCCCAGCATTGTTTTAAGTTAGTAACTCCTCTGAAGCCTCCAGAGATATGCGGGATTAAAAGTGTTAAGAGAAGTCCCCCAGGTAACACAGGGCACAGCTTTGACAGCCAGGTCGTGGAAAGTCTTCCCCACCTTTCAGGATGGCAGGAAGCACAAGTCAGATGTCCAGGACAGTTGAAATGGCTCCCCCAACCTTATGGAATTCCCATCTTTATTTTTCCCTTCTGTTTTCTCTAGTTACTCTTAGTGGGTTTTCTGGGAAACCCTCTGTCTTTTTACACTGCTTGTAGTTGTACTTCATGTTTACCTATAAAATAATATAAACGAAGTATCTATTACAAACAATGTAAAAAACGCTAAGAATTTTTAAAAAAATTAAAAAGTTTCAAAAATGACATTTGAAAGGAATAGTGTCCTCCCGGCTAAGCAGAGAAAAATGCATGCACAGAATGAGCAAACACTGCAGAGTCACTTAACAAGTAAAGACTGTGATCAGTAAAATTTATAAGCTGATGCTTCATTTCATGCTTGTGAGTAGTTCTGTTTATATCTAAGAGATTACTCTCACTTTAGAAACAGGAACATGCCTACATATTTTTCCTGGAGCAGGCATATGACTGCTTCTGTAGTGGAGGTTCCTTACAGCTCGATCTCTTTTCTGAGGTATGTTAAAACAATCATTAACTGCAGTGAGCTCAGAACAGAGTCGTCATATAGGCAGTACGTATGAAACGGCTGATTAGCAAAGACTGCTCACTTACTACACTGGATATTTATAAAATTGAATCCTGAAGCATTGGCATTGTTAACAATTCTCAGACATTAAGTCTTTCATGCTATGGCCCAGGTCCACGTTAGAACAAAACCTCCAAATGCACATTAAGAAAAATGAAATACATCTTTCCAGGGAGTTACCTGAAAGTCATAAGTGCTCAGAAATGAAAGCATCAGATTGAAAAAAAGAAGTGGTGAATATGAAACTAATTGGAAGCCTGATAGAAGATCCCTTAATGTCTACACGGGGCTTTAGTTAAGACTGATGGTGAGATTCAGAATAGTGGTATAATCATTTGAGTGACTGCCATAAGTTTTAAGGGTAGTAGTAATCCTCCTGCTATGGGGCACACTTTGATTGCCAGCTGGGAACAAGAAGAAAATTCCCAAGTGGTACCACACAGAGACTGCAAAATTGGCCAGGGGTAGTGTGTCTGGGGTTTACATTTTTTGACGTCTTTCTGAAACCTGCAGAATGCCAGGAAACGGAAGACCAGACCGTGGCAGACTGTAGGCAGCTCTGTTAAGACACTGTGTGTCTGACTTTGGTTCGTCCTAAGCCCTTCTCAGCACACATCTTCATTAGGCCTTCTGTCCGGTGGGAGGTTTTGAGGTGCATCTCCCAGGGCACTCAGCATGCTTTGGTGCATGTTGTGCAGCAGTCTCTCAGCGCGCAATCTGCAGTCCCTTTGTGTGGCACTAAATCAGTGGATGTGCCCCCACTGGTAATGGGCAGTCAATCCGCAGGACAAGCAGATGCAGCGGGATGGATGCTGGGTCCGCAGCACCAGTGGTTCTGTTCTTCCAGTCTGCTCGGATGGGGCCGTTCCGCTTGCCGGTGTCGACAGAGCCTCTGTTCCCCTTGCACACAGGACAGAGGGACTGCGGCAGCGTACGCCACGGTGGGCCGCAGCAGAGGGGACCGCGGTCCCCTTCATGCTGCCTTTCCACTGTCCCCAAGAGCCTTCGTGTTGGCAGCAACTGCATTGTTGGGAAGTGCTGATACTGCCATCAGTAGGTCGGATAGGTATAGGTTAGTGTTTGCTTTTTACCTTAGTTTTGCTTCGATTTGTAAATTTTAAGCAACTAGAAAAATGACTAGATTTCCATTTATAAGGTAAGAAACACTTAGAAATTCTCTTTATTTGATTGAATGATTGATACTAAACTAAATAATTGATACTAAATTGTCTGAAACTTCTTCCTTTGGATGGAAAGACAGTGGATCAGGTTATTTTTTTTTTTTCTACCTTCAAGTGGGGATTTAAATGTTATTATTATTCATGCGTTTAAGTGTTTGGTTTTTTTTTTTCCCCATTGGATAGTTAAAAATGTTTTTGTCTTCCCCTTATTTCCATATTGCTATGGCAGTGTTATGATGATCCAGAGTATTTGCGTGACCTAAATAGTTAAGGATACACTGTCGTTTTGGACCAACATATTTGTCCTTTTGGTTCTACTCCAGCACTGCTTAAAGACTTTGCTGAATTAGGACCTTTGTGAAAACGCTTCCCCCTATCTCCAATTTGTGAGGACATCCTGCAAGTGACTCCTTGCATTAAGCTTCCTGTGGTGACCAAATGCAGTTTGAAGAGAAGATTTATTCTGCAAGGTTAACATTATTTTTCATTTAAGAGAATGTGAGGAGCTGCAGGCATAGTGTTTATTGGATTATTGTTCAAGCTTGTTATTGGAGAAGGCGACTGGAAGAGGCTCTGTGAGAATTGTGTTCAGCTAACAGTTCAATAGTTAATGGAGCTTTAACTTTTCATGGTTTGAGAGCTGCTTTAAAGGTGGAAAGTTCTCCTGTGAAGGAGGATCTTTTCTAAAATCTGACTTCCAACACAAGAGCAAACTCTTTTTCTCTAATTTTTGTCTTTTTGTAAGGGAGGTTACTTGATTGCAGATACAACTAAATGTAGGTACTTTGTTCTGTCTGATTAATTTTGTAAAGAAGGCTTGTAAAAACCTTGATTGCACATTGTCTTTAAACAAATGAACCTGCTGTCCCTTCTGGTTGTATTCCTTCTCTGCCCTGTGCTGAAAGTAGCAGTTGAACTTCCCATTCTCCATGTCCATCTTTTGCAACACATTTTATTCTGGGGTTTTTTGGGTTTGTTGTTGTTGGTTTTTTTTTTTTCCTTGTTTGCTTTTTGTTCTTTTAATTTTTCTTTCTGTGACACTTCTAAGTTTAAATGTCTCTGGAGGTAGCAGATTTCCTGCAAATCATACTGAATTCCCTCTGGTATTTGACACTCTCACTGTGAGGTACGTAGTCTTGTACTTCATGATGGTTCTTTTCAGACAAAGTAAAGATGTAGTCTTTGCTCCAAGAGACTTACAGTCCAGAAAGTTTTACGCTTGATTGTCAGATCTGATGAACTTGAAAAAAGAAAATCTCATTTTTAAATACCTGTGTGACCTTTTCCTGGAATTTTATTATTAGCTTCTTATGCCTTGCTTATACAATGCATGAAATACATAATAAATGGGGACAAAAAGAAAAGGAGAAAGTGATATGGATTTTGTTGGTGTTTCTCTCCCTGTCTTTTCAGCAGCACTTTTCAGTATACACTAGAAGCTACCAAATCTCTGCGTCAAAAGCAAGGGGAGGGGCCCATGACCTACTTGAACAAAGGACAGTTCTACGCCATCACCCTGAGCGAGACCGGTGACAACAAATGTTTCCGGCATCCCATCAGCAAAGTCAGGGTATAGTCCAATTTCTTTCCTAGATGGGAATGGAGGTCTGTAGATAAATGTAGTTGTGGCTGGTTGTTATTTAATAATTTTTTTTCTTGTGAGAGAGGACAGAGCAAGCTTACTCTTATGCCCAATGCAAAGGTGGGAGAGGTGGTGGTCTCAAATATTTTGGGGTCCATTTTTTTCAAAGTGTGATCTTAGGAATTAATTATATACATATCTGCCTCCGTTTATGGTTTGGCAGAATGGTAATTGCACAGATATTGCACTTGACATTGGTGAACTTATCATTGCCACGATTAAAGAAAAGAATCAGAGTACTGCTACATCTGGTGTGTAAGTCCGTCTTCACTCAGTTGTGCACTTCAGCAGCTGCTTTCCAGTGCATTTCAGATAAAATGTGAAGAGTTGAAGCCATCCTTTGTGACATAAATTTTAAATCATTTACATTGTGTAAGTGTGAGCTTTCACTTGATACTCACCCAGAAATATGACAAAATGGATGATTTGCATCTTAGATTCCACAGGTGGAACTGGAGCTTGGGTATTCGGCAACATCTGCCTGGTGAACAGGCCTCCTGATTTCCCTGGTAATGTTTTTGAGTAAGCAAATCCTAACCCAGTAACCTTGGAATGAACAATGAGCCTCAGAGTTGCTGCCCTGCAGATTTCACCCTGAAGCTGGAAGGGCTGCATATGCATGAGGCTGCAAAAGTGTTTCCATCCAAATAAATGAAGTACTGTAAAAATGTTGTGACTTTAGTTGAAGGAACCAATGAAAGTCAACGTGAGCAGTGAAGCAGACAACAACCTGTATGTTTCTATCATACATGAAGTGTAGAGAGATTCTTCCTGAAGAAAGGCAATGATTTGTAAACCTGAATAGCAGTTAATTTTTAGCCTGGTTTCCTAAGGACATGAGGCCAATGATGGCGTTTTGTTGTTGGCTGTAGCTGATGTAAGACTTCTCTGCTGCTGAAAAGTCTCCCTGCCAGCCACCCGTTCCTTCCCCCTTTGTGGTGCCAGCTCTAGCACTTGTACAGCTGAAACAGGAGTCAGGAGCTCACTGGTCTGGCTGAAAACCAGTCCTCATAAGTCTCGTTCACTGCACAGCCACCTGAGTTTTGAAGCTGTGGCAGTAGAAGGGTGGAAACTGTAAAGAAGAAATGAGACCATTTCTTTTGGAGGATGTACAGTTTACAGAAGATTGTGAAACCACATGCAACTTTCACGATCATGTTCTGTTTGCCAGGCCCCCAGCCAAGTGACTGTTGAATTTATTGCCAATTCCATCCAGGCCTGACAGAGGGGCAAGAGGTTTTGAAGGTATTAAAACTCTACAAGTTCCGTGTAAGTGGTTCATAGAGGAAAAAGCGTAATGCTGTCCTTGGTGGAAAAGCTACAGTCTGCACTGCCAATTCTGGTTAGTGCTTCAGCTGGCCAGCCAGCACATACCTGATGGCCTGCCAGTATGCATACGCGTAACTCGGGACTCATCCACGGCATATACTGCCTTGTGCCCACACAGTAGACATGGAAGATGCAGTGATGACATTCGGCTTTTATAGGTGGAACAGAGGTCACAGAGCACATGAAGGGTGACTGTGGAAGGACATAGATGATGAATCAATGGTGATCCAGCTCCTCAGCTTATGAAAGAGCTTGATGGTATTTTTTATGAGCTCAAGGTTAAAGGAAGACCAGGAACAAAAGAGGATATTTAAAAGTGAATTTTTTGTTCTCTGTGATTTCTTTTCGCTTCAGTTTACCTAGTATGAGCATTCTTTCATTGTTTTGTGTTTTTTGTTTTGCTTGCTTACAGCAGGGCTTTTTTAAAAAGCCTTTCTTACTCATGTGAAGTTTTGCATAAAGTTTCAATCTGTTCCCTTTGAATCACACAGTTTAACAAAGGGAATTCAGAACTTGAACTGAAAAGCTCAGCAAAACTCGGTTAATAGTCACACTGAGTTTGTCATTAAATACATGTATGCAAGAGTCCTACTATGGAGAAGGGTATTTGGACTGTGTATGGTAAAACTGAAAATGTCCTGCCTTTAGCCAGTGAGCCTGAGCTCCATAACAACACATCCCTTTACAGTGTCATGTCATCTTCCAGAGTGGCGAAGAATCTGAACTCCAACACTTGGACTGGACTTGGATCAGAATTGGAATTGAGGATCCTCTGACTTTGAAATGACCACTTTTTACTTAAGGGAACTTAGACTTCTTAAATCTAAGATTGCGATTAAATTTTATTTGGACTATCAAGAAGATAATCCTAGGCCCTGCATTATTTTAAAACTACATTTCTTCTACCTTGAGTCTTTAAGTGCATTGCAATATTGGACTGGAATAAAACCCAGCAATCTTTGACAACCAAAGTGCTTGGGGAGGGTGGTGACTGGATCAGCATTAGAGGCATATGGGAAATTTTAATTTTTGTGTTTCTGGCTGTTAATTATATTAACTAATGCAACTTCTGCTGCTGATTTTCTTAGAGCGTGGTCATGGTTGTTTTCAGTGAAGATAAAAACAGAGACGAACAGCTGAAATACTGGAAATACTGGCATTCTCGGCAGCATACAGCTAAACAGAGGGTCCTCGACATTGGTGAGTGTAAGAGGTTCTCCAGATGTTTCAGGGAAGATTGCAGAATGTGGAAAGCTCTGGTACCTTTTACAGGGATGTGGTGGGATATATTGGCAATGGCTGCAAGGCGTGTACCACAGTTTTTAGCAATGGCTCATCCCTGCTAGGACTGGGCTATGGGGTCTATGAAGCAGGATGGAGACCATGCGAAGGAATGGTCCTCAGTAGTCACAAAGAAGAGCTGCCCTTTGCATGAGTATTTAATCGTGTTCTACCTTCTGCTGCTGGGAAGTTGAGGTCTGCACCTCCTCAGGAGTGGCAGAGTGTTTGTTTCCTTTAGTTTTTCAAAGGCTGATCCACTCTTTGATCAGGTAAGAGTAGCAGCCCACATAACAGTTATGTTAGCTAATCTGATTTGTAAGTGCAGCCTGAGAGTGAAGATGCCATCATTATGGTGACTGCAGAGGAGCGCACAGGACTCCTACACCCCCAGTTTTTGAGTCTTGGTGTCAGAGAGAAGTGAAGGAGAAGCGAGCTCTGGTGTGCTATCCTGAGAGACCTGTTTACCCTTCATCCCATCTAAGGTATTTACAAGCCCATTTCAGCCACAACTGCCCTATCCACATGCTTGGGAGATTTTAGCAGAGGAAGAACACGTACCTGCTGCCAAGGAGCCTGAAGTTGAAATCTGTAGGAGTGTCTAGACATCAAGCACTTCTCCCCTCCCACATGCAGTTTACACACGCAGCCATCTGCAGCGGATTGCAGTCAAAGGAGTCGGCAAGACCAAAGCAGACAAAGTCTATCTTGTTCTGACCGCCTGAGGGAACCAAACCATTGAAT